GATCCCGTTGCCGGTCCCGGTCCGGTACGGGGGCGACACTGAGGGTTGCGATCTGTTGCCGCACACGTAAAAAGACAAAAAAAAAAAAAAAAACGAAGAGAAAGTATAAAAGTATACAAAATCCAAAATGTTAAGATAATGAAATGTAAGTATTTTTAGTATTATCAGTTTTGGTACTTCAGTAGAATTGCATTCATTTCATTATGATTTTCAAATAACATGCAATTAAATAACACTCTTTACAACTGTTACATCCCATTCTTATTTCCAACTTTGTTTTGTGCTTTCTTGAAAATCTTTACCTTTAGTGTGTGTGTTTAATTAGTATTTTCATAAAGAACCACCTTCTTAGATCCAAATAACCATTAAAACCAGAAAATGTGTTTCCCATATGTCAGGCATGGCTTACTACATGTTTATTCTACTTATTCTATTGAGTTTAATTTTAATGAATTTATTAACCTTTAATAAAGACATGTTTAAAAATTCCCACCATAATTATATTTACACATTTGTCTTTTTCCCTAGTGTTTGAGAGTGTTCTGTGACTCAGGCTGGAAATTTGTCTGCCTGGTGTTCAGTACAACTACGAATGGGAGGATTATTAGCTTGGGCTCTGGATGAGAGAGACCTAGGTTCAGTTCCCATCTCTGCAGCTGAATGGATGACATGGAAGTTCATTTAGTTTGTCCGGGCCTTGTTTCTTCATGCGCAAAATGTAGATATTAACACAACCTACCTCATGGGGTTATACTGAGGATTAGAGTTAATGTAGGTAAATTATCTGATATATTCTAAGCTGTTATATATTGGCAACAATAAACTTCTTAAAAAAGAAGTATGTTTATGCTTTACTCATTTCTATTTTCAAGACTCTCAACTTACCAAGAGGTCTATTTCTACTTTTTAAATTGGAGATGTCCTTATATTAATACAACTTGGGTCTCGAGTTAGCTTTCATCTCAAAAATCTTGATAGGTTTAGAGAACAATCTTTAAATAAGCTTTTTAGTTCTGTATGCATAATATTCTATTAAGCATTTCTATTGGTGCCACCTCACACACAAACACACCATTTATAGTCATCTTGAAAAGGGAATATTCTTTTAAATGTTTTCACCTAGAATTAAAAGGGAGGGAAAGACCCTAAGAGAGATTTAGATCAAAGGATCTTGGGGTTCAACGTCCTTCTGTAGGTACGGGAAGTTTTTGAGCTTCTAAAACCCACTCGAATGAGAGGAATTAATTATGCCATCATTCCCCCGGGGGGGGGAAAGGCGCCTTAGGGAGCAGAGCTCACTGAGTTTTCCGCCGCCCGATCCCAGCGCTTTCTGAGGCGAGGAGAAGGTCAGGCTTCTCCCTCAAGCCCCACCCCCAGGTGGCGCCGCC